TCAGTGAGAGCAGGAATTCCAGTTTGGCCTAGAAGGGCGAAGGGTCGCTCGACGGGCGGCAATGCGAAGCTCGTGATTCGCCCAGGCTGTGTGTCCAGCCGTGCATCCTGCCACCGCCTTGAGCCACTGGACGTTGGCTTTCGCGCTTTCGCCTTCTGGCTATCGGTACCTGGATGCTCCAAGCCAAATGCTCCAAGCCGAATGCTCCAAGCCAAGGGCTCGAGAAAGGCCAATTGCGTGAAGTCATTGCCTTGTTCCGACTGGTGCGTGCTGCTTGTTCGTGTTGATGGAACTCGCGCGAGTCGTGCCTCCGCGGCTGGCTCGTTTGCTTGTCTGTTTAGTCGCAGCAGACGCAGACTGGGCCCTTGACTTGGCCAGTCTCGTAGACAATAGCAGGGGGCATGGCGCCATATCTGGCGAACCTGGGGCCGGCATGGTCCGCGTTGAGGAGTCTTGTCCGAATGAGGACGTTGGCGGGCAAGAAGGGAATCGTGACGATGCTTGGCTCCTGGTCTGTCAAGCAGAGACGGACTCCCATCGATGCCTGCGGCATATTGCCCACCGACCACATCCCGGCACTGAACCCACGGAGATCAGATTGCCCGTGGTCTTGGCGGTTCATCGCCCATCTACGGGCCGCAACGTCCTTCCACCCTTGCAAGTCCGTTGGTGATAGCTGTTGACGATTCCGCATCAATGCCAGGACCAACAGTCGACTCGATTCAAGGCCGAGAATGGCGAGCGCGAAGAGCGATGATCGAGGAGAGTGGCTCCGGAACATGTCCACTTGACTGTGACCTCGAACTGGTACTGTGGCCTCGCTTCGTACCGTACCCCAAAGGACCTGCTGACCGGTCTCGTGAAGTAAATGGTTGGTGCACCGTTCAGGCTTGACTCCGGCATGCTGTCGTGTTCGACGGGGTTGCACACGTTCTTCATTTGTCCATGGGTCATGTTCGTCGCCACTGTGCTGACCGCAATGCAACATGTCTGTCATTTCTTGCCAGGCGTGTTCATCCCCGCTATTCGCGGTCTGAACTCAGCACACAATCTGGCAGTCAACCAGTACACCATCTTCTCCACAGTGTACTGTCAGCAAAGTGTCGTTCACGAACCCCAATACCCATCTCACACAATCGGTGGATGAATTGGTGACGCAGGTTTGTCAGAGAAGCGATTGAAAAGCACCTAGACAAGCTGGTGATGAGGGGGAGGAAGGTAACACTCCCTGGGCCTGTTCCTTCTTGAGACGGGATGGGTGACAAGGCTGAGCAAACTCAAGTTTTATCTACGCTGATTGGCCGCTTGTATCATGCCCCGCACAAAGTACTCTACGAGGCTGAGCCGGCTCTCAAAAAATCAAAGCAGTTACCAGAACCAAAAATCCACCCATCTTTCACTTGCTTCACTGTCCAAATCCACACCTTCGCGCTGTACTATCCGAATCTCAATCATTCCGTTAGCCCATCTACATATAGCACAACACACTTGGTCAAGGGTCAGATTGCGATGGCCACGCCCCAAGGTCTCCCCCGCGAGACCTTCGCCAAACTCTCCCCACACCCATACCTTCTCGCCAATCTTCAGACTCCCCAAGCGGCGGGCGCAACGACACCGACGCGTAGTAACGGTCGGGCGCCCCACGAAGCTCGCACTCCCAACATCAACACGTCCACTCTGACCCACGCTCACGGCAGCGCCCTTGTCCGGATCGGCGACAACACCGTCATCTGTGGCATCCGCGGCGAGATCCTCCCGACCGCCAACATTCCCAACTATCGTGCCTCCATCCGCGACAGCGACGATGGTGGCCGCGCCGAGCTCCGAGACTACGACCTCCTCGTTCCCAACATTGAGCTGGCTACCGGTTCGGCACCCCAATTCCTGCCCGGTGTGCCCCCGACGAACCTCGCCCAGACTTTGAGCACCCGTGTCTTCTCGCTACTTCACTCCTCTGGCCTCGTCAACGCCGACGACCTGAGGATATGGCACACGCGCCCAGCCGAGAACACAGGCTACAGCGCCGCAGATGACGAAGACGATGACATGGGCGAGCTGGAGGCCGGCGAGAGGGTCGTCATCGCGTACTGGGTGCTCTACATCGACATATACTTCATCTCGTTCGACGGCAACCCGTTTGACGCTGCCTGGGCTGCTATGCTAGCTGCACTGCGGAACACAAAGCTGCCGGCGGCACGGTGGGACCAGGACCGCGAGATTGTCGTCTGCTCGCGTGCAGAGCAGAAGCCTCTGACACTGTCAGGCTTCCCCATTGCCACTTCGGCTGCCGTCTTCCAAGGCAAAGAGCCCGGCCGCTTCTGGACATTGGTGGACCCGGACCGCCTGGAGGAAACTCTGTGCCGCGAGAATTTGACGGTTGTCGTGGACAAGAACGGCGGCGAGACGAGACTCCTCTCAGTGTCCAAGCACGGCGGCACAACGTTACAGCCGAAGCTTGTCGGAGAGTTTGTGGCTGTCGCAGAGAGGCGGTGGGACGAGTTCCGTCGTGTGATGGCCTGAGCATCATGATACCCCAATAAACAATTTCAAAACGAGGACACACGTAAATAGCATCATGACACATGACTGCCGTGATTTGCAAGACATCACAAGAGCGACGATATGTATTCCTCACATCGAGCTACCGTATCAGACGTTATTCTAGGCAGCAGATACTGGAGGAAGAAAGCAGTTTGTCTTCCGCCCAGCGTGGATCGCCTAATGAAAGACGTCGTATCCTGCCCGCGAGTCTTGTGGGCAACTTGCGGTGGATGCTGAGCGGTTATTTCAGAAGAGGAAAAGAGCAAAGCACCGAATTTCGTAACGGCGAGAATTTGAGGCTCGGGCTCTACGGTGTTGAAACACAGTGCACACGGTACATACCCCACCATCAGTTCTCCACTTCTCCCGCAGCCGAACTTGCCATCAATTTCTGCTTCAAGGTCAACCTTTCTCTCCGGTTTCCTTCCTTCACACTTCGCACCATGGAGTCCCTCGCAGAGACCGTCTGGGACGTCGTCATCTGCGGCACGGGGCTGCAGCAGTCCCTCCTTGCCTTGTAAGTTTTGAGTTCTCCAACTACCACCCGCATCGTCATCAAGGCGACCTGACCTGACTGACTGACCCAGTCCTGGCGCTCCCTGAAGAGCTCTTTCGCGCTCGGGCAAGCAGATATTGCATCTCGACCCCAACGAGTACTACGGAGGCAATGAAGCGGCTCTCACCCTTCAAGAGGCAGAAGCATGGGCAGAGCAGCTACAAAAGCAGCAGCCTGCCGCCGAAGCGCCTATATTCTCCTCCGCGTCCGCGTCACGGCAGGCAGAGGCCGGGAGCCCCCTCTCCTTCTCCCGCGCCTACTCTCTAGCCCTCGCACCCTTCATCATTCACACCCGATCCACTCTGCTCTCGCAGCTTGTCTCGTCCCGGGCCTACCGCCAGCTCGAGTTTCTCGCCGTCGGCGCCTTCCACGTCTATCGGCCAGGCGACGACAGCTCTGGCGGCGTGCCTCTGCTAACTCCCATTCCTTCGACGCGAGAGGCCATCTTCGCCAGCACAGCCATTGAGCCACGTCCCAAGCGTGCGCTTATGAAGTTCCTCCGCTTCGTGCTTGACCACGACGCCCCTGCCCAGCAGGAGAAGTGGCAGTCCCGAGCCGACGATCCCCTCGCCGCGTTCCTCGAGGACGAGTTCAAGCTGGACGCTGAGCTGCGCACCCTGATCCTGGCCCTCACCCTCTCTCTGGACGGAGCGATCAAGGTCCGAGATGGTCTCGTTGCAATCGAGCGACATTTGACCTCCATGGGCATGTTCGGTCCCGGCTTCGCGGCCGTGTATCCCAAGTGGGGCGGCGGAAGCGAGATCGCGCAGGTTGGATGCAGGGCTTGCGCCGTCGGCGGCGGCGTGTACATGTTGGGCACTGGTGTCAAGAGCACACGTCCCCTGCAGGCTGACGAAGATGGCGCTCAGTTCGAGGTGGCGCTCGGCACGGGTGATGTGAACAAGACCAGGATGCTAATCCGCAGCGATCATGCGACGGCGGCGGAAGGGCGAGACACCAGGATAGCCCGGCTCGTCGCAGTCATCAACTCGCCGCTTGCCTCTCTATACGAACCCATCATGGAGGGCGGGCCCAACCCCGCCGTGGCCGTCATCGCCATGCCTGCCGGCTCCGTGAACGACAGCGATGGCCAGCCGGCGCAGTATCCCGTTTACGTCTTCGCCCACTCGAGCGAAACGGGTGAATGCCCCTCAGGACAAAGTAAGCGATTTCCCCATTCTCACTTTCAACACATCCCTGCATCATGATGATTTTTTATAATCAAACTTATCCACATTGGCTGAGCGCTGCTTTGACGTCAACGATTACTGTTCTGTCTGACCTATTGCACCTTCACACTCATTATTCGCCATTTTCTTCACCTACGATCCAGGCTAACCAGTGTCACAAGGCGTCTTCTACTTCACCACACTCGCAACACCAAACGCTTCCGCCGTTCTTGACTGTGCGCTTTCCTCCCTCCTCGCTGCCTTGTCAGGACCAGAGGCAGCCCAGGAACTGTCGTCGATCTACCAGCTTCGATATGAGCAGGCTCACAGCAGCCAGAGCTCCGTGACGGATGAAAAGGGCTTGGTACTCTTGCCGACGCTGCCGCTTGACTTGGCGTTTACAGACTCTACTTTGAAGCCAGTCGAAGCGGCGTGGGCCAAGATCATGGCGTCTGCGGCTGGGCCAGATGGACCTGTTGAGTACATGAAGTTTGAGGATCGTGAGGGCGTTGGCGAAGACGCAGACTAAGTCGGCCGGGTCCTGCTAGGGATTGTATGAAGTCATGAGCAAGAATACTTAATTGATAATGAATCACACACTTGCATGCATGTTAATCGTGACCATCTTCAGATTGACTCATCCGAAACCGTGTGATACGAAAACGCCTGAAGCAAATCCCTAGATGAGCGATCAAACCCCCAAACCTTGAAACCATCGCAACGCATTCCCAGCCTACCTTAGGCGCGTCAACCCAATATCATCAGAAACTCCCAAGTCGTAGCTGAAAAGATCATCTCCGCCATCCTGTCTGCGTTCTTCGTTGATGGATCCGGCCGAAATCCGAACCCCGAATTCTGCCCTCCTGATATCATGTCAAATACACCCCAAACTCCTTTTGCCATTCCAAACTTTAGCCCAGGAGTTGATCATGAATGCCGTGTTATAGTGGCCGTTGTTGCCGGCACTGTACCCGTAAAATCCGAATAAGAGGCCGTCCGCCCATTCCACCCTCAGAGGTGCCCAGAGATAGAGACGAAGTCTTTGCTTCCGGCCTAGACGTTGTGGCTGTTCATTGAGACTTCTTCGCCCTCGAGAGACTCTTCAACAGCATCTTCGTTTTCTTTTTGGACCTCGACACCGATGCGAATGATGCCGAATGGCCGGATGTTCTCCCACTCCTGTTGCAGTGCAAGCATACCTTTGGTGCGCAACGTTAAGATGTGGTAGAATGCTTGTGCGGCGATTGCCTTGGAGTGCTCTTCTGGGCGAGCGAGCTCCTCGAATTCGACCCACCGACGCGACGATTCCTCGCCATCACAACTCATGGCCCGTCCGGTTCTCTCAGCCTGCGTTAAGGAATACTGCAGAAAGCATTCGCTGTCGACATCGAGTGTACTGCGCATCCACTGTGAACCGACCTCTTCTTGTGGGTTGACAGTGAAGGCAGCACCAACTTCCTCATCAATGGATGGATCGTGAGAATATCCCCACTCGCCACCAAGTTCAGATCCATGGGTTTCTAAGCCGATCTCGCTGCGTCGTTCGATGGGTCGAGTGCTGCCTCTGGGGCTGAGTGTGGGCTGACGACTTCCAGTGCTCCATTGCTTTGAGCCGAAGACGCCAACAGAGGATGGACGATGAATGCTTGGTGTACGGTTCCAGGGCATCATTAAAGATGACATGCGGTCTTCGAAGTGCTCTTGTTCTCCCAGTCCCACTTCAGGCGGAAGTTCATTATCGTTGTCAACGATGAAGCCCATGTCCGCGTCCTGTTGACCCTGGGCGGGCTCTTGGGTCTCTTCACTAAGTCGAGGCCGGACGCGTCTCTCGTTTGCATTGTCTTCCAAACCGTTATCGAAGGCTTGGGATGCAGACCTTCGACGGCTTTTCTCGATATCAGAGGGCGTTGTCGAGCGTGCATCTTGATTATTGGGATCTCGATTGCCAAACACCAAGTTTCGAAGCGCATCGCCTGCGAACATGTGCGCGAGAGGATGAACGAATTCAGGAGACACCGAGGTTTGGCCGATCCCATGTATGCCCTGGCCGAAGCTTACTGCATAGGCATTGGTCCTCGCCTTTGCAATACTGATCTTTGGTTTGCTCGCTCTTTCCTTAGCCATGCGCTGAAGATAATCATCCTGATTGCGAATTTGTTCTTGTCTCGAAATAACGGTACTTGAATCAAGGAAACCACGCGTTCCAGCAGCACGGATCTTACCTGGCCCTTTGGTGCCGGGGACGAGTTCCTCTTGCTCTGGGTCCGGCTGGGGTACAGGTGAATAGAGCTGCTGCTGGGCTGACATCGCGTTACCTGGCTCTTTCTCAAGCATAGGGACGTCGTCCTCGTTGGGAAGTGGTTGAAGTGGGTTATCGTCGCCGAAAGTTGGAATCTCCTCTTGGGCCATGGCCATGTCGTTGTTGATGAATTGGTCTTGTTGGATCGGGTTGGGAAGGAGTTCGGGGAGATAGGGCTCCTCAAAGGGATCTGCAATGCCAATGATGTTGCCCTCATCGTCGATATCGAACATGATGTCGCCGGAACCCTCCAGGTCGTTTGGTTGCTCCAGAGGGGCGATCCGTTCTTGGAGTGTGTTTTTCTTAGCCGATGAATCGACCCTGAATGGAGAAGCCAGGAAGAGGCTACCGCCATCAGATTGAGATAGGTTGAAACTCATAATTGAGCCTGCCCTTCCACTGTGGATGCTGCTGCTGTTCGCAAGACTGAGTTGCGAGAACTCTTTGTTTGAAGACGACTGGCTTGTGTTGAAGGCAGGTTTGCCACCCCCGTTCGAGTTGAAAGCGGGAATGACAGGGTCCAGAACAAAGCTTGGGTCGTCTGGAAGTAAGATCTGCTCTCGTCTTCGTCTGGTTAGCATAGAGGGCTTAAATGCTAACATTGTAGTTCGTGCTTCCAAGGCAGTCACCATCCCACAGCGAAGCCGAGGAAAGGCCATCGCTATGTAAGCAGAAGGCCAATGGGCGAGAAGTAACCACACAAAGAACGCTGAGCAGGCACTCTAGAATGGGTGCAATACAAGATTTGATCAGAAAAGAGAAATCTAGACTCACTCAACTAGACCGGCCTTGGGGTCGGTGTCATTTTGTGCGAGGAGTTGATAGAACATTTGCATGTCAGTCCGGGTTTTCTCCGCATCGCCCAGGACATAGACGCACTGCTGTGCAAAAACACGCGACACGCCATACAACAGATTGCCCTGAACACGCAGGGCCAGGGGCGCGCCCGGCTGGAGGATTGTCTCGCATGCTTTTCTCACATTAACCTCCTGGATAGCCTTGCGGGTAACCTTCAGGGCGCCGCCCCGCGGACCAACGGTCGCGACGAGCCTGCAAATCCTGTCAATGTCCTGTTGATTCGTTGACTGAAAGATTGTGAAGATTGTGTTTACCAGATGGTGGAGACGCCATGGCGAGGATTGGTAAGGACTGAGACTCATTGTGAGCTGAGTAACATCTGCGTGCCAGGTCGCCTCGAGCTTACTGTCATTGCTATAAAACATGGCGGCAACGCGGGACCTGCAAGTTTTCGCTTAAGCCGTAAATCTGTTGATCCGCTCGAGCATCTGCAGTGGACCTTAAGACCTGCTCGAGAAAGATGAACTGTTGTTTCGAAGCGTCCCACGCCAAATATCGAATAGACTCCGGCGTATTGTGCCAGTCTTAGTTGTATGTCGGTAATTTGACTGCTTAGACTGTCACAGTGATCGGTACTCAACCAGGGGTGTGAGTATGGGGAGACGAAGGAGAGACGATACTGCCACCGATTGAGGAATGGACGTGGTGGTGTGTTTCCCGCAAGAATAAAAGGTTCAGTCCCCATCGCAATAGAAAAGTAAGGGCAAGAAGACGGGGGGGAAGGAGCTTGAATTTGGCAACTGCCTCACAGTCGAACGAGGCAGGAGCACCTCCTTCCTCGTCCTACAAGCACATGCTTTCCCAAGTGAGCCCGGATCCTTCCTTGTTCAACAGCTGTCAACTCACCGCAATATTGAGTAGGCCGCCGGTTCTCCCACATGCTCACTCACAGCTTTGTTCAGCCGATGACTTCTGATGACGTGTCTCACCAGCCCTTTCATGTCGTTCGCCCAATACGAGCATGATGACTCGGACCACCGTACCACCAGTCCGGCTGGACAGATTTCGTGCCCATGCTAGATGATCATGAACAACCAAATCACGCAGAGGTCAAGGCATATTGTCAACTCGAAATGCATTTCGTGACTCCTGAGCTTTTTGGTTCCCTTTTCACGGGTATAACCTTGCCAGATGTACAATCCTACTGATACATTCTCCAGCGTCAGTCTAGACCTGACGGCGTTCCTCTATCCATTTTTCTCATTCGGCTCGGAGCTCTGCCAACAATCCCACCACGTTGTCGTCTTTTACTGCGTCTTCTTGACGCCGACCTGCTTTGCTGGCGCGCTGTACATCCAGACAGCGCTGAAAGACAGGAAGCCCAGAACGGTGATGACGATGCCTCCCAGTGGTGTCCAGGCGCCCGTAATGGCGTAGGAGCGAGTGAATTCGTCGTGAGCCATGTGGCGGACAGTGACCGTGTTCTTCTCGTAGACGTTGGAGAGGAAAGGGCGCTTGTAGTTTGTCAAGAAGTTGTAAACGCCATGCTGGTCAGGCAGGTCGAACGTCGTCTCGTACGTCGCCGCCTTGAGGTCGCTGTGAACCGGCTTGAGGTTGCGACGGTGGTACGCAGAAAGCATGCTGAACTCGACCTGGAGCTCGTCGTCCTCAGGCACAAAGAACGGGCCCCAGCTGTCCCACGAGTACTCGGAAAGCGACACGGAATAAGACTAAGGCTTGTCAGACCAAACATGTTTAACGCACGCATTGGTGGGGGAAAACTTACCACAGTGCTGTTGATCCTGTAGATGGAAGGGTTCAGGTCTTTGGGGGACTCCTTGAGGTAGTGCTGAATGCCGTTGACACGCAGAACGCCAATCTCGTGGAAGGTCCAGCCGGCAACCCTCTTGGCGAACTCGCGGTTCCACGTCTTCGCCTTGTCACCACCCTTAACCTGGACCTTGGCGTCGAACCACTTGTTGCTCAAAAGGTCCGCAGATCCAACGACGGTGAAGCGCGCGGAGTTGCGTGCCTGGAAAGAAGAGACCAGGGAAAGCTGCTCGCCTGCAGCGTACAGCTCGTCGGCGTCGATGACGTCGCCCTGCTCCTTGGGGTTGTAGCTGTAGGCGGTCTTGGGAGCGCGCAGGATGGGAGTCAAAAGGGCGCTGGCGCCGAGAGTGTGGCCGACGCCGGAGGGGAATGCGATGACCTCGTTAATGGGCTCAGTCTCGGGGCGGAAGTATGACTTGACATCGGGTCGGACGGCGGCGGGGGCGGGGAGGACGAGGACATCGTGCTTCTCAGCAGCACTGATGGTGTCGTAGTTGAAGTGGTCAACCACGAGGCCGGTCCTCTCAAGGGGGAGAGAGATATCAAACTCGGCAAGAAGGTTGGCAACGGTTGACGGGATCGTGGACGCGGAGCTCGTGGTA